CGGGGGGGGGACGGCTGTGGGCTGGGCGCTGGTGCCCTCTGTCTTCAGCACCGCTCCACCGCAAGGAAAAAAACAGGTCATCCCGGGCTCATCCATTATTTCACACAGAAGGATCAGTCATTTTCTCCCCCTCCTTAATTTCTTCGGCTATTGTCTTGTAAGCGAGCAAGGAAGCATCACCCGGAGCACGCTGCGGCTGCAGGGGAGGTGTCTGCTCTCACCTCCCGCGGCTCTTAATTCATTATCTTCTTGCCACGATTAGCAAGAGCGAGAGCAAAAGCAAGAGACTGCTGCTCGAAGGGGACTCAGACCACGCTCGGGAGACCCGAGATAGTGAAATGTGCCGGTCTGCCTCACGGGCAGGGTTTCGCTATTGAAATAAATATTTATATTTTTTTTTAAAAAAAAGATACTGCAACAAGATAAATCACCTGTAAGGATAAAGGCATTGAGATTACAGTTTTCAGGTCAAGATGAATCTCAATGAAGCACGTGAGAGGCATGTCAGATTAAAATAATACCAGATTGAATAATCATAATTCAGACGACCTGCTTGCATCCCTAACACAGGTCTCGGGTGTTTTACTTGACTGTATGAAAGTTAAAGTTAGATTACCTCCCCGCTGGGAACTCTATAGATATTTGCCCTACTTTTGAAAGAAAGAGGCAAGGACAAACATTTAACTATTGCTCATTCAGAGAAGGGTTTGCAGTGAATGCTGCCTCAGGGGTGTCTTCTCCCTGTGTCAATATTTGCGCTTTTTTTTACCGTCACACAGCTAGTTATTTGCCTGCGCTACGTGTTTGTCCATGAGGCATGTTCATTATGGAAGACCCAGATGAGGGGGTTTGCCTGTGCCCACTTTCCCTGCAGGTCATGTTTCCCAAAGAGGGAGCCAGGGACAGAGGGGCTGCCTGTCCTCTGCCTCTGGGCATGAAGCTCCCCCAGAGCCCCACAGACCCAGCTCGAGGCAGCTCTGCCAGGACCAGGCCTGGAGGGGCATCCAAATGTGCACATAAAGGGGGAACAAATTCCCCTTCGTCCACGCTTTAATAATTAAACTTTAGTCTCTGTCCTTGACACAACGAACCTGCAACATGCCAGCAAATGATTCCAATGGTTGTTTAAGAGAAAGGTTTGCCCCGCTGGCTCTGGCAGGGGAAGCGTTTGCAAATGCTCCCAGTGGTTCCTCCCAACATTTAACACCCTGTAGCCTTTATCCCCTCCAACCTGGTACTTGCAAAGATGGCAGGTCTTTCGCTGAGGCTCATGCATGGCTCTCACACAGAGAGAGCTGCTCTCCCTCCTGTGATGGTCTGAGTTTTGCTGAGACTGGAGAGCAGGTCACCAGGTCCTGATGCCCAGCCATGGCCTCAACTGCTGCCTCTCCAATCCCTGCAGCAGCAGGTGGGAGCAGGTGAGAGCTGGCAGAGGTCTGGAACTCATGAGAGGACACCTGGGATGTCGGGAGGCTTTTGGAAGGTCTAGGGAAAGAGGGCACTGGGACTGCACGGGCTTCAGTCTTCCCCATTGGTCACAGGGGAAACAAAGGTTTCCCCCCCCGGGGAAGGAGCACCATGTGACCCGGCTGTCCTTGTCCCCCCAAAGAGACCAGAGCCATCCCACTGCCTTCTGCCCCTGACTCCTATACATCCTGATCCTGCCCCGGCCCACAGATCTAACGCTTCTCCCCTCAGAAACAGCCCATGCCCCCAGTCCTGTTGCCTTCCCAAATTTCTTAACACATGGTACCTTTATCATCCGGTAACCATCCTTGGGGCACTGCACAGGACTGCATTTTTTGCAGACATACGAGCTGCCATCGGACAAGCAGAGGATCAGGGCAAGAACAGAGCAGGGGCTGGAGCTGGCTTGTAAGCAATGTTTGCTTTCCGTGGGAAATTACCTGATGTTGAACATTTTTCCTTCCTGAAATGGAGGAAAATTAAACAATTTTCAGTCTCCCATGAAACACAATTTAAAAATCACTTGGAGGTTGATTGAAATACTCTATTTTGATGGCATCAAAAGTGTTTTGTTCTGTTTTCCTTTTAAACATTTTATACAGTGTAGCACAGTGTATCATTATTTTTACTTCAGATGAAATCAATCATCAGCTTAAAATGGAAGTTCTGTTCCAGTATTTCTTCAAAAGATTTTTTTTTTTTTTGCTACAACAGGCATACTACTATTAAATGTTTCTATTTCATCAAAATGACCTCTTTCAACGGAAAATTTTCTACTGGAAAAGTTCTGGTCAGCTGTAATGAGAAAGGCCAGTGTCTTGTAGAAAACAGTTTGAAAGGGGGGTGGTTTGGAGTAGCAAAGACCAAAGCTTGGAAACCTGGTTTGCTGAGACCCCACTTTTGGTTTCCCAAACATGGCTCTTCCCTCTTCTACTTCCTACCAAGACAGAAAAGTCAGATTGACTGTCTAGTTGTGCTGACTCTCCAGCTAAATTACTGGGGAGATTTAAAACTATTCTGCAAGGATCAATGCCGCTAAAATTATACAATTTTATTCTGCCTTGGAAACAAGTAGAAAGCTCATGAGTTCCTGCCTGAAGTCAGTTAAAACATATACCAGCTATTTGATACGTTGTCTATAGCCCTTTCTATTCTGCTCACTCAGATGCTTTCCTTTCACAATGCACAAAAGCCACCTACTATATATAAACAGCGTGCATGCAAAACCTTTAAAAAAAGATTTTAATCTTCCTAGTATATTCAATATATTTTCTCCTTTTCTCTTAGCAAAGCAAACATTTCTCATAGGTGTTGATTTAAAACATGTGCCTGCTACAACATCGTTTTCACCCTCTTTCTTATATTTAAGCTCTTAAGTCATCCTATCTGTTAAGAAACAAAGCAACAGCATTTTTAACAGTTTTGATTACTTACACTTACTTGCTGCAGCTGCTAGGAAATGAACATTAATGGATCGATGTCGGTATACATGGCGCTTCGCAAAGGTCTGATTGCTCAGCTGTTCCTTGCACTAGTAGATCCATTAAAATTAAATAGGAATAACCCATGAAATTTAGGCCTCACTTCTGTGATACTTAGAAACTAGCGATAGCTTCTACACAAACTTGTGATTATATGGGGCTATTCTGCTCTTCTTTTGACAGGCATACACACCCCTTGACCCCAAAGATCCACAGAAATTTGAAGACTTCCATTGCTAGTCATCAAACACCTGCCCCCTGCCTCGAGTCACAGTACCTTGAGCATATTTTAAAGGCTTAGGAGATTTCACATCCTTTTAAAATAAACAAAATGCCTCCTCAGTGATTTAGTCAGGAGGGAACTGT